GTGGCGAGAGTGGGCATCCCTGTCTTATTCCTGTTAAGAAAAATGCTTCTGGTTTTTGCCCATTGAGTATGATGTTGGCTGTAGGTTTGTCATATATGGCCTTTATTATGTCGAGATATGATCCCTCTATTCCCACATTACTGAGTGTTTTTATCAGAATGGGTGCTGGATTTTGTTGAATGTTTTTTCAGCATCTATTGATATGATCATATGATTTGTATCTTTCATTTTGTTTATGTGGTATATCACATTTACTGATTTGTGAATACTGTACCATCCTTGCATCCCTGGGATGAATCCCACTTGGTCATGATAATTTATTTTGATGTATTGCTGGATACAATTTGCTAATATTTTGCTAAGGATTATGGCATCTATGTTCATCAGGGATACTGACCTGTAGTTTTCTTTCTTTGTAGTGCCTTTATCTGGTTTGGGAATTAGAATTATACTGGCCTCATGAATGAGTTTGGAAGTCTTCTTGGATTTTTTGGAATAGTTTGAGGAGAATGGGTGTTAGATTGTCTTTGAATGTTCAGTTAAACTCTGCTGAGAAGCCATCCTGGCCTGGGTTTCTGTTTCCTGGGTGTTTCTTGATTACACCTTCAATTTCCTTAGTTGTTATTGGTCTGTTCAAGTTTTCTATCTTTTCCTGGTTCAGTTTTGGGAGACTGTGTTTCTTGAAATTTGTTCATTTCATCTAGATTGCCCAATTTGTTGGTGTATAATGGTTCATAGTATTTTTTAATGATCTTTTGTATTTCTGTGGTGTAAGTTATTATTTCTCTTTCATTTCTGATTTTGTTTATTTGGGTCCTCTCTTTTTGTTTCTTGATGAGTCTGGCTAAGAGTCCATCAATCTTGTTTATCTTTTCAAAGAACAAACTCTTTGTTTCATTGATCTTTTGAATTGTTGTTGTTATTATTATTATTTTTTTTAGTTTCTATGTCATTTACTTCTGCTCTGTCCTTTAGCATTTATTTCCTTGTACTTGCTCTGGGTTTTTATTTTTGTTTACTTTCTAGTTATTTAAGTTGTAGGGTGAGAAAGTCAATTAGACATTTTTCTTGTTTCTTGAGGTAGGCCTGTAGTGCTATGAACTTCCTTCTCAGGACTGCTTTCGCTGCGTCCCATAGATTTTGTGTTGTTGTGTGTTCATTTTCATTGGTTTCTGGGAAGTTTTTAATTTCTTTCTTGATCTCCTTGATAATCCATTTGTTGTTTAATAATATGCTATTTAGCCTCCATGTGTTTGAATATTTTTGTTGTTATTGATTTCTAGTTTCATGCCATTGTGATCTGAGAAGATGCTTGATATGATTTCAATCATCTTGAACTTGTAGAAACTTAGTTTGTGTCTTAACATGTGGTCTATCTTTGAGAATGTCCAATGTGCACTTGAGAAAAATGTGAATTCTACAGTTTTGGGGTGTAATTCTCTGTAGATATCTACTAAATCCATTTGATCTAGTGTATCATTTAGAGTCTCTGTTTCCTTGTTAATTTTTGTCCAGAGGATCTATCTAGTGATGTCAGTGGGGTGTTGAAGTCCCCTGGTATGATTGTATTGCTGTCTATTTCTCCTCTGAAGTCCTCCAGAAGTTTTTAAATATATTTTGGTGCTCCTATATTGGGTGCATATATGTTTACCAAGGTTATATCTTCCTGTTAGACAGATCCTTTCACTATTACGTAGTGGCCTTCTTTATCTCTAGTTATGGACTTCACTTTTAAATCTATTTTATGAGACATGAGTACTGCTACCCAAGTTTTTTTTTCCCTTTCCATTTGCTTGGAAGATTTTTTTCCACCTTTTCATTTTCAACCTATGTGAGTCTTTTGTTGTGAGGTGGGTCTCTTGTAGACAACATATATATATGAGTCTTTCCTTTCTTTCTTTCTTTCTTTCTTTCTTTCTTTCTTTCTTTCTTTCTTTCTTTCTTTTCTTTCTTTGGATCGTTTGTTATTGATATATTAGAAAGGCAGATGAAGGGAGAGGGAGAGAGATGAAAACATTGATAAGAGAGATCAGTTGGCCACCTCCTGCATGCCCCCCACTGGAGATCAGGCCCACAACCTGGCTACGTGCCCTGACCGGGAATCAAACCAGCACCCTTCTGGCCTGTAGTGTTTCTGTTGAGAAGTCAGCTGACAGCCTTATGGGGGTACCTTTGTAGGTAACCTGTTATATCTCTTGCTGCCTTTAGGATTCTCTCTTTGTTTTTAATTTTTTGCATTTTAATTATTATGTGTCTTGGTGTGTCCCTTGTTTGGGTTCTTCTCACATGGGGCTCTCTGTGCTTCTTGAACTTGAATGCCTATTTCCTTCCCCAAGTTAGGGAAGTTTTCTGTCACTATTCTTCAAACATATTCTCTAACCCTTGCTCATTTTATTCTTCTGAAACTCCTATGATGCGGATGTTGTTATGTTTGAAGTTGTCCCATAGTTATCTTAAGCTGTCTTCCTGTTTTTTGTTTTTTTCTTTTTCGTTTTCTGATTGGGTGATTTTTTTCTACCCTGTCTTCCAATTCACTGATTCAGTCCTTGGCTTCCTCTACTCTGCTGGTTATTCCTTCCAATGTGTTCTTTATTTCTGCTATGCCATTCTTCATTTCCAATTGGATGGTTTTAAATTTTTTTTATATCTCTACTCATAGTGTTGAGCTCTTTACTCATGGTGTTGAGCTTCCTCATTATCATTGCTCTGACCTCTACCTCTGATAACTTGCTTAACAGCATTTCATTTATCTTGTCTTTGGTAGAGTTTTCTAGTTCTTCCATTTGGATTTATTTCTTTGCTTCACCATTTTTGCTGACTCAGTGGGTTTTGGAGCCTGCCAATTTCTTCCTGTGGGTGTTGGTGTTCTGCTGATTGTGGCTCCTCTACTGGGCTTGGATGAGTGTGGGAGGACCCACGTTAAACACCACTGCTAATTCTTACTTTCCTGGGTAGATTTGCAAACCAAGGAAAGTTTCAGTTATCCTCTAGCTTTTTGCCTAGAGGCTATCAATCTCAGTTACTTAATGATCCTGGATTTATATCCCTCAGCTGCATGTAAGAAAAAATCCCTCAACTGTAAGAGGATTTCCAGCCTGTGGGGCAATTGAGATGTTAATGAGCCTCAATTTGCATTTCTCTGGCCTGGTGATGTTGAATTCCTATGGGAAAGACTGGGAGGGGCCGTTGCTGCTCCCTGGGGCTCTGGGAAGGGGCTCTTTAAGTAATATGGCTACTGTCCAGTGAGGGAGTGATTCAGTACAGAACTCCCGGGTCCACATCTCCAGGTCTCTCCCAAGCCAGGGGCCCTGGACTCTCTCCATATAGTTCCACTCCATCTGCCCTCCCTCTGCTAGAGCCCAAGGTATGTGGCTGTAGCTGATTTGGTGCTTTAAAAAAAACCCGCTTTCTCAGTGGGAAGCACATACAACTCTTCACTGCTGTCTGTGGGCTCCCAGCCTGCCCCAACACACCTCCAAAGTTCCTACCAGGCTCAATTTGGTGTCCTCTCTTGGTCTCTATTTATTTGGGTCCTCTTCACCTGCTCTTCAGTTGGCTTTTCCTGGTGATTTGTCTTTATTTTAGTTGTAATTCCAGTTCGGTCCTGGGGGACGATCTGTGTAGCTTCCATTCACTCTGCTGCCATTTTTCTTAAGAACTAAATCTTTCTCAGTTCTTTATGAATTTAAAGTATAGGAAAAGTGGAGACACAGGTTCCCCTGCCTTCCAAACATTCATTACCTGTGTTCCTACAGTTATGAGGTTATATAGGTCATTGTATAAAAAACTGACCACTTATAAAATCAGTCTCTCCTCAAATATCCCTCCCTTCTTAACTCTAGATTCTATCATCTTCCTCCCCAATGCCCAGGGGGAAAAACGCTGTTTGGCAGCAAAGTACAATCACAAATGTTGCAAAGGATGCTGTATTTTACTTAGTTGAGTAAGGTGATGGGAAAAATGGAAAGTCATTGACAAATAAGGCGAGGGCAGAGTTAAACCAGATTGGAGAGTATTTTTCCATTGCTTTTCTGGAGAGAGTGGAAGGGAGGCAGGGAGAGAGAGAAACATCATGAGACACAATGATTGGTTGCCTTCCAGAAGATCAAACCTGCAACCCACATATATGCCCTTAACCAGGAATGTATGGATCCAACAGAGACCCTTAGGTCCAAAGGCCAAGCTCTAACCACTGAGCAGAACTGGCCAGGGCCCTTGTAACAGCTTATATTACACGTTCAATGAACAATATGTGCCATTTTTGTAATTTATTTTTTCCTTTTGTTTGTACTGAGTGTATTTACTGAAATGTAATTTTGTTTTCTAAAGCTAATAGATAAAAATCTGGGCTTGTATTGTGCTTCTTTTCCCCATCTTTCAAGTAATCCACATACATAGTTATTGACCACTGGGAACGGTGTTTAGATCTGATAGGAAAGGGAACCGGGGGTTCAGGTAATTCATGTATTACTATATTTTATAAAAGTATTTCAGCGATGGATTGGAAAAACAAAGAGCTTGTCCTTCACGGGTAATTTGGGAAGCTGCCTTTTCCAGGCTCATATTGAGGGTCACAAAGGGCGTGAGGTAGGAGCCAGGGCCCCGCAGAAAGCTTCAGTGAACGTAAAAACCTGGACAAAGCTTTAGTAACGAACATTTTTTTTTTCAGTCAAATACAGTCAACTTACATTAAGAGTTCTGGCCGAATACAAACCTAGAAAAAGGTTCCCGGAGTCTCGCCGCAAACTCCTCCCACAGCCTTAGTCGGCAGCACTTCCCGGCGTCCCCTTTCGGAGCGGAAAGGAACGGAGGGGCGGGGCAAGCAGCGTGAGGTCATCAGAGAGCGACGCCAGCGCCGCAGGCAGAGCCGGCGCCTCGTTGACGTTACCGCCGCCTGACTGCTTTCCGGGAGACGCGAGTGTAAGGCCAACGAGGTATTATTGAAAGCTCGTGTTTGCGTTTTTCTCGTGCTCTGTATAAGTCCTCCTCTCTTGTCCAGGCTTCTCCCTTTCATCCTCCGGCCGGCTGAGGGCGGGCCTCGTAGCCTCTCGGGAACGCGAGCTCGCCCACCGGGACGCCGCGGAAAGCGTTGTTGCAGGACCCCCTTCGCTCACCCTGTGGCTGCTTGCAGGTTTCAGCCTACCTGGCTCTCTCACGTCTCTCTTGGGCCAGGCTTTCGCATTGTGTACACTTCTTAGCTCCGCCTCTCAAATATTGGGAAGGCGCGAATTTAAAGACAGGACTTCCCAATTAATTTTCAGCCGCCTTCAAATCTTGTGTATGGAAAGAGGGCAAAAGGGAGAGCTGTAGGGGAGTAACTTTCCTATGTCATCCACTTTTATCATTCACATTCATCATCATTCAACTGCCTGCCGTTGCTATATTGGCCCACCTGGGATTGGTGGGCTAATTTGGACCTTCAGTTGAAATCTGTAGTGGATAATATCAAGGAAATAGTTTTACTTTAAGGCCCAGGAATGTTCAGTGTGGTTCAGACTTCTGTTCGCTGTTCGAAAAGATCTTTAACATCTTCCTGTTTTACGACTGATGTTCAGTTTGACTTGAAGAAGATGTATCTCCCAAGGAGATGTTTGCCACCCACATGTTAACCTATTTGGACTATCTGATAGATTGAACTGACACTTAACCATATGTTGACGTTAGAGCTGAAAAATAACTAGGTAACACCTATTGACATTCAGAGAACCGTTTGTGATGGTTTCAAATGATAGAACTCATTATTTTGTTGAAAGATAAAATGAGTGTGAAAATGGTTTTTCAAAATAAACAAAACAATTCTTAGTAAAAAGATGTTATAGCTGACTTCAAATAGCTGTGTATATATATATTACAGTTCTTAAGTGATCGTTTCTCATAACTTAACTTTTTATGTGACTCTTGATATGTGTTATCTCAGTTAGGTGCTCTTCCCAAGCAGTTGATCCTTCTAGTATGGCGCTAAATAATCCCCATTTGGATTAAGGTATTTGATAATTTTCACTTTACCAAAATAATAACTAATATTACTAATGTGTTGAGTGCCAGTCACTGTTCTGGTAGCCTTACCTATAGTATTCATTTAACCTGCACAATAGTCCTATACACCGTTATTATTAATGATATTTTAAATTGATTTTAGACAGAGGGGAAGGGAAAGGGAGAGGGAGAGAGAGAAAAACATTGATGTGAGAAATACTGATTGCCTGCCTCCTGCATGCCCCCTACTGGGGATCAAGCCCGAAACCTGGGCATGGGCCCTAGTGGGAATCGAACCTGAGACCTTTTGATTTATGGGACAATACTCAACCAACTGAGCCACTCCAGCTGGGTCTGTCATGATTATTTTAGAGATGAGAAAATGTAATAGGTAAATTTCATGGTTTTAGAAAGTAATTTTGCTGATTTATAATTTAAAAAATACTTCAAATTAAACAATAGAGTAACTTCATTGTAATCTGATGTAATCATTCATCTCAATCTTGAGCAACCTCTTTATAATTTATTTCTTATCTTGTTAGCTTACATCAGACTTTGGGATACATTTGTTTTTAGAGATTAACATCTTTAAGGATAAAGTCTAGCCCTGGCCGGTTTGGCTCAGCAGTTGGAGCATCAGCCCATGGACCAAAGAACTTTGGGTTCGATTCTGGTCAAGGGCATGTACCTTGGTTGCAGTCAGTCCCCAGTCCTGGTTGGGGTCGTGCAGGAGGCAGCTGGTCAATGTGTCTCTCTCACATCAATATTTCTCTCTCTCCCCCTCCCACTCTATTTGAAGATGAATGGAAACATATCCTTGGGTGAGGATTAAGAAAAAAAGGATGAAGTCTATCTTTTCTCAGGGATTTTAAAATCCTGTAAGGAGAATTACAGGTAACATTAGCATGGATTGTTTCTCAAAGACAGCAATATTTATTGAGAGATTGTTGTATGTACATTGCACTATTATTTTCTAAGATAATGGAATGCAACAGAATTGTTACAGTAATAGAATTCTGGTGCAACATCTGCAGAAGTCTCTCTAGTTCCAGAAAATTATATATTGGCTTTGTTCTATCACTTAATTTATAATTATGTATAATTCTACTTGGCATCAGGATGGAAACAGACCCAGAATGTATGTTATATATATATTTTTTGATTCATATGGTGACTTCCTAATATTTATAAGTCCAAACTCTAATATGATATTAAGAGTCTCCAAAACTTGGTTTCAGTTTACTTTCATTGGTTTTAGTTTAATAAACAAATACTTAAGTACCTAATATGTGGCAAGACCTTATGTCCATGTAGAGATACAGATATCATGCAACATGGATCCTGCCTTGAAGGAATAGCCTAGTGGGTAAATAACTAGTGGAAAGTTCTGAGCAGAGTGATAGGATCTGATTGGGGCTTTTAACAGGATCACTCTGGCTACCTTAGGCACAGCTTGTTAGAGAGTAGGATAGGTGAAAGCCAGGAGACTAATTAGGAAGGTGCAGTAATTCAGATGAGATGACAGTGGCTTCACAGGGTGGAAAGAAGTGAATGTAGTGAGTAACTGTTCAATTTTGGATGTATATTGTGGGCAAAGCTAACAGATTTGCTTGTGGATTGAATGTGGGTTGTAAGAGTAAGATGAATATCAAGGGTTTGGGCTTGAGCAACTAGAAGGGTGGAATTGCCATTAGCTCTGTAGTGGAAAACTATGGGAGGATCAGGTTTGTGGGGGGATTAGGAGTTCAGTTATGATGTGTTAAGTTTGAGATGTCTGTTAACAGTCATCCAAGTGAAGATGTTGAGTAGGAAGTTGAGTCAAGTCTGGAGTTCAGCGGAGTTCAGTGGGGATAACATTTGGGAGTTATCAGTGAACAAATGATATTTAAAATTGTGAAACTGGAGACAATTACCAAAGGTGTGCATGTAAACAAAAGAGAAGCAGTAGAAGACCTGAGTTCTTAGGCATTTTAGACTCCATAGGTTTGAGGAGATGAACCAGCAAAGGAAACGTAATGAATATCTAGTGAGGGACAAGGACAGTTTTGTGGAATTCAGGGTGAAGTGTTGTGTTCTAGTTTGTCAAATACAGCCGATGGATCAATGAAATAAGGATTGACACCTCTGGATTTGTCAAGAAAAACAATAAGGAGTATTATTGATGGGTATATATGATATCTAAGTGTGGAGAACCTTGGGAGCAAAGAAGAAGAAGAGACTACTTTTGTTTGGGAGATATGGAAACCTTTGTAGAGGAGGATGAGTTTGATTAAGTTTTAAAGGATTAATAGGTTTTTTGTGTGTTTTTAAAAATTTTTTTCTTTATTGATTTGAGAGAGAGGGAGAGAGAGATAGAAACATCAATGAGAAAGAACATTGATTGGTCGCCTCCTGTATGCCCTCCACTGGGGATTTGGCCCACAACCTGAGTATGTGCCCTGACCGAGAATCGAACCGACGGCCTCTTGGTGCATGGGTTGACGCTCAACCACTGAGCCACACTGGCTGGGCAGATTAATAGGTTTTACTGGGCCCAGAAGGTAGGGGAGGGGGTATTCCAAGCAGAGGAGAAAGCCTTACTTCTCTCCCTTCAAGGCCATACCTCCGAGTCTGGCCTGGGAGGTTATTTAAAAATTCACTTGCACTTCCTTATCTTTCCTCTGTGCTCACTAGTCACTTCCTGATTCTGGGTAACCATTCCTTTAGAGCTATTGAACATTGCTAAAGAAATTCACAGAAGACACAAATTAATGCTGCCGACCTCACCTGGGTTGTCTGACCTCACCTGGATCCTCTCTCTGTTTCCTGACAATTCCTTTATGTATCCCGATTTTCTTCAATCTGTGAAGAAGGCTGATAGCAAAAAATTGGTTCATTTGAAATATGGTGTTGGAGGAGAGTTCTACAGATACCCTGGACCATCAGAAAGACAAGCAAGTGGGTCCTAGAGCATATTAAGCCCCAAACATTGCTGGAGGCTAAAATGACAAAACCTAAGCTGTCCTATTTTGGGCACATTGAGAGAAGGCAAGATTCTTTGGAAAAGACAGTAATGTTGGGAAAAATAGGAGGCAGCAGGAAAAGAGATCAAACATGAGATGAATTCATTCCATAAGAGAAGCCATAGGCATGAGTCTATAGGAGCTGAGAAGGGTAGTGAGGACAGGACATTGTGGACATCACTCATTCATGGGGTCCCCAGGAGTTAGAGCATTGAAGAAAACACATGCATATTTAAGTATGCCTCCACACTTATATATTTTTTTCTTAAAGACAAATATATATCCTGTTCTTCAATTTTGTTCACTTTAATAAATCTTAGGACTCTGAGCTCTATTTTTTTTTATCCTCACCCAAGGTCTTTTTTTTTTTTTTTTTTTTTTGGCGTTTATCTTCAGATAGACCAGGAGGGAGAGAGGGAGACATCGATGTGAAAGAGACACATCAATTGGTTGCCACCTGCACGACCCCAGCCAGGGCTGGGGACGAACTGCAACCGAGGTATGTGCCCTTAGTGTGTACCAAACCCAGGCCGACGCTCTAACCATTGAGCAAAACTGGCCAGGGCTACTTCCTACTTTTTCAATGCTGCAGAGTTTCTTATTGAATGAATATATCATAATTTGTTCAACTAGTCCTTATTAATGATCACATAGGTTATTCCCTGCTTTAAAGTGTTTTAAAGAGTGTTAAGGTGGATGTCCTTGAACGTTATCTTGTGTGAAAATGTATATTTTGAAAAGTAAAATTACAGGGTCAAAGAATTTGTATGTATATAATTTTGAAGCATAGTGCCAGATTGCCCCACCAATATGCTCAGTTTACACTCCACTTAATAGTGAATGAGAGACTGTTTCTCCTCACTTTTGCTTGTACTAGGTACTATCAATCTTTTTAATTTTTGCTTGTTTGACATGAAAAATAGCATCTTGTTTTGTTGATTTATGTTTCTTTAGGAGTAAGACTGAGTAACTTTATGCTCATTGGTCATCTGGATTCCTTTATTTGTGAACTGCAGGTTTCTTTGTTTGTTCTTATTTTGGGTTGTAGGTTTTTTTGTTAAATTGATTTGTAGAGGCTCCTTTTATCTGTCTTTATTTTGCAAATATTTTCCCCTATTTTTTCTTTGACTTTTAAACTTGATTGGTTTTTTTTTTTTTTCTTCTCATATGTACATTTTTTATAAGAGCCAGGTAAAGATGTAAGACGTTAGGATTTTTTTAGAAGGAAATTTTTGACATTCTTAAAATAATTATAAACACCCTGAAATGTCAGCCTTTGTTGGAAATGTTAGTAACACAAACCTCATTTGAAGCCATAGGCTCTGTCTTGTTCTCATGAATTTTGTTTAACAACTGTCACAGATCTGGTAGCACTCAGTAACCCACTTCCCCTCACCTTCAATTATATTTGGAGTTGAGATGAGATGTAACAGAGCTGCTTAAGTATTCTAAACTATACTTCAGATTTAGGTATCCCCCAATTTCTGAACTGAATTGTATTCTAAAAGTTAATTTGTGAGTTAGTGATCTAATTTCACTATAGCTATAACATACATAGGTTTGTTTCTTTGCTCTCAAAGTGTAATTAATCCATAAAGACTAGCTATTTTTTTTTTTTTTTTTTATCCTCATCCGAGGACATTTTTCGATATTTTGTTCAGATAGAGTGAGAGGGAGAGAGAGAGAGAGAAACATCGATGTGAAAGTGACACATCGAGTGGTTGCCACCCACACGACCCAACCAGGGCTGGGGACAAACTGCATCCAAGGTACATGCCCTTAGCGGGAACCGAACCCGGGTCTCTCCGGACCGCAGTCCGACGCTCTAACCGCTGAGCCAAACCGGCCAGGGCAAGACTAGCTATTTTTTAAGCAAATTCAAGATACTATGTAATTTTACCCAGGGACATTTTTCTGATATAACTATAATGCTATTGTTTGTAGATGACAAAATTATCAATAATTTCTTGGTGTCAACTAATACCCAATCCATGTTCATATTTCT